GGGGGGGGTCCCTGCGATGGGGGAGCGTATTGGGATGCGGGTGCTTCCGATGAATGTGGAGTTGCGTGGGCGGGGGCGGGGAGTCCCTCCAAGTCGGGGAGAGGGAGGGCGAGGACTGAGGATCCTAATGCCACCAGGAGGGCTCTGATTAGACTCTGCTAAGGAAGAACTCCCAACCCCCACCATCCTCAGACCAGACAGTCCCCTCCTCGCCCACCCAAGCAGCTTTCATATACTCCTTCCTTCTCTCACTCAGAGCCCCCAGCCCCCACTTGTACCGTCATGGCCCCGCCAAGCTGGATCCCAATTTTCCCAGGACTGAAGGGTGACCGAACCTCCTCTGATCCCGCCTCCCCGTCCCCCNAAGTATTCTTAGCCTCATCCTAATCTCCCTAGATTTGAGGAAGGGGAACCAAATCTTACACCTCTTTCTCTGAGTGCTTCCAATACCCACCTCCTCCTGCCTCTCCCTCTGGCCTGAGCCCTGTGTCCCCCCTCCCAGGAGAAGCTGGAGCAGGAGGACCCTTCCAAGTCCCAGAATGAATATGACAGGGCCATCTTCATCAGTGCTTGTGAGCGAGGCTGCCGCCTCTTCTCCATCTGCCGGTTTGTGGCCAGGAGCTCCAAACCCAATGCCACCCAAGCTGAGTGTGAAGCAGGTGAGGGCAGGCTGGGTGGGCCAGGGCAGGGAGAGGTGGCCTGGGAAGACTGCCCTTAGTCAAACCCCCCTGCTCCTGCAGCCTGTGTGGAGGCCTACGTGAAAGAGATGGAGCAGCAGGCCTGCAACGAGGGCTGCTGGAGCCAGAACCCTGAGCTGGAGCCTGAGCCAGAGTCCATGCAGAAGGTGGGCACCCCCCACCTGACACCCTGGATCCCAATTTTCCCAGGACTGAAGGATGACAGAACCTCCTCTGACCCCCCTCCCCCGCCCCCACCCCCTTCTCAGGACAGAATCCTCAGAAAGGAGCAGGAGGACCCTTCCAAGTCCCAGAATGAACATGAGCCCTCTTCTTTCTACACCCTCCCCCTCAATCCACACTCATGCCCAGAGTCTCCTAGGCTCTCTGATCCATTCTGGGCCTACTGGGTATCCTCGATCAAGCATGTCACATCTCAACTCTCAGTTGTCACCTCTGTGACAAGGGAAGTACTGCCTTCCTCCGCCCCCTGCCCCTTGCCACATTGCAGGAAGTAAATAACAGAAAACAGCCATCTTTTATCAAGCATTTGTCCTGGTCCAGGTTTGACCTCAGCCTGTCCCAAATTCCTCGTGCCGCCTAGAGGTACCAGGGATAATGTCATGTCCAAGAAACCCAAGGTCACACAGAGCTGTGCAGACATTGCATCTAAAGCCAGGGCCACCGGGGCTTATAACAATTCCTCAACTAGCTCATCTTCAGTGCTACCAGAGCTCAATTTATCGAGCACCTACTGTATGCCCGATGCTGATCTAATCACTTTCCTTGTGGTGAACAAGTGGCCACTGTCATCTGGGGGGCTCAGAACTGAGGTTCAGGAAGAAGCAATCTTCCAAGCATACATACACTGCCTGCCTTCCCCAACACCCTCGAGAGAAATAATAATTGTTTACCTGTTCATAACTGCTCCCTCATAGTCATGAATAAGTCTAGGCACTGCAGCATCAGAGGAAACTGAGGCAGAGGAAATAATTCACTATAGCCAGAGACCCATGGGCTGGGATTCCACAGAAAGCCCTTTCCCTCCTTCCCCCATTTTCATCCACCCCCTCCAGCCTTTTACGTACATAAAAGCACAAAGCACTACCATTCCTTCCTATTCTGAGTTCTCTCCTGATGCCACTAAAAGAATAACAATGATGATGGCAAATTTTTAAATAATAGTGGCTATTATATATTAGGCACTTATGCTGTGCCATTGCCTAGTTGAAATCTTGTAGCAACCACGTGAGAAAAGAGAATCATTCCCATTCTAGGGCTCAGAGAGGGCAATCCATTTCCCCTAGGGCAACCAGCCAGCTAAATGCAGCAGTGATCCGTGTCTCTCCTATGAAGCCCTATTGCCCCAAACCACTTAGTGAGTTCCAATCACAGTGGACCCACCCAGGTCCCTTCCCGTTGATCAGTGCCCTACCTTAGCCACATTCTGTGCCTTTTGCTTCTCCTCAGCAGAGAAAGGTCCTGGAAGGTCCGAGCAGGGTTCTTTCCCTCCTGGACTTGTTTTCCACCCTCTGCAATGATCTTGTCAACTCAGCCCAGGGCTTCGTCTCCTCCACCTGGACGTACTACCTGCAGACTGACAATGGGAAGGTGGTGGTGTTCCAGGTGAGGGGTCTGGCAGGGGCACGCCAGAGTGGTGGGTGGATGGTCAGGGTAAGAAGGTGGGATACATTCATTTTTAGCTCATGAGCTGCAAGGTCTATAGCTGATGCTTCAGGCATGGCTGGATCCAGGGGTTCAGTGTCTCACTCTATCACTTGATTCTGCTTTCCTTTGTGGTAGCTTTATTCCCAGGCAAGCACTTTACTCCTAATAGCAGGATGGATATTTAAGGCTCTAAATTACAACTTCTCTGGAGTTTTAACTAAGCAGGGATTTACTCTGATTGACCCTGGTTGGGTCATGTGACCACCTCTCAGCCAATCGCCGTGATTCTATTGGCTTGGCTTGGATCATGTTCTTCAGGAGCTGGAGGCTGAGTTCAAGACAAATTGATGCCCTAGATAGTTTTGCTCCAAGGTTAGAGCATTGGTCCACAGACTGAAGGGCCCTGGGTTCAGTTCCTATCAAGGGCATATTTCTCGGTTGCAGGCCTGATTCCCATCCGTGGTCAGGCCTTGTGTGGGAGGCAACCATTGGATGTGTCTCTCTCACATCGATGTTTCTCTCTCTCCCTTCCACTCTCTCTGAAAAACAATGAGAAATATATCCTCAGGTGAGGATTAAAAAAAAAAAAAAGACAAACTTAGGGGCCCACAATAGCAGGGAACAACATCCTTGACATCATAGCCTCACAGAAGACTGTCCTTCCTACACCCAGTGGGACTAGGTGCCAGCTGGGCATGGGACAATATACCCCGTGTGGTGGTGCCTTTCCAAAGATCTCTGTGCTGTCTTATTGTTGGTCCAGACCCAGCCAGTGGTAGAGAGCCTAGGGCATGAGGGGGCCCGTCTGCAGCGAGTGGAGGTGACCTGGCGAGGATCCCATCCTGAGGCCTTGGAGGTGCACGTAGGTAAGGTCTGAGCCTAGACCAGTGTTCCTTCCATGGGGAGCTCCACTGCCATAAGGAGTCCTCCAGGCAAATTAACCGTCTAGGACTGGGATTTCTGTCTCAACCCCTAGAGCTTCATGGTCTGTCTCCCAGGGTTCTGTGGTCCATCTCCCAGGGTTCCTCAGTCTGTTTCCTAGGGTTTCATGGTCCATCTCCCAGGGTTCTGATCTGTCCCAGGACTCTATGGCCAATTACCTCAGGCCCTGGCCTCCTTTCTTCTCTCAGTGGCTACTGTAGCCTCTAGGGGAAGGCCTGGCAGCCCCTGAGGAACAACCTGTCTCTCAGACCCTTTAGGCTCTTTGGACAAGGTGAGGAAGACCAAGATCCGAGTCAAGACCAGCAACAAGGCCAAGGTGGAATCTGATGAGCTGCAGGACAATGACTTCCTCAGTTGCATGTCCCGGTGGGTAGCAGGACCCTGGGGGTGGGGTGGAGGCAGGAGAGGAAGGTTCCCAGATGCTACTAGTGTCACTGAGTGTACCTGCCATGTTGGGCAGGCGCTCGGGGCTTCCTCGCTGGATCTTGGCCTGCTGCCTCTTCCTGTCTGTGCTGGTGATGCTGTGGCTCAGTTGTTCCACCCTGGTGACTGCTCCTGGCCAGCACCTTAAGTTCCAGGTGGGTGGTGCCAGTGGGTGGGCCTGGAGGAGGGGTAGGGAAGAGCTGATCCCTAGTTCCCAATGGGGTTGCCTTCTCTCCATTGAGGCCAGGCCCCCTGACTTGCTGGGTGATGTCCAGCAAGTTTCTTCATTCCTTTGTGAAATGGAGGGAAGAACGCCTCCTGCCCTTAGTCAAAGTGACCTGAGATCATGGGTGAGAAGGAGCCTTGCAAGGTGGGGCTCAGTAGCCTTCCCTCCCTCTTCTTCCCTTACAGCCCCTGAACCTGGAACAACAGAAGGGCTTCATGGTAGAGCCAGACTGGCCTCTGTACCCTCCTCCATCACACGCCTTTGGTGATAGTCCCCCACCCTACAAGCTAAACCTGGACCTGACCAAGCTGTAGGCCTCCCTTGACCCACTGCCAGGGGCAAGGGCAGCTCCATCCTCACTGCCCTGTGCCCAGGAGTCCAGGCCAGGGTGAGACCATCCTTGGGCTTCTGCACCCCCAAATCCTTCTCTCTCCCTGGTCCCATCCCTCACCCCTCTGGGTCCTGGGGTCGCCTTGCTGCCACTTGGGGGGTGGGATCTGGCCTTTGTGTGTCCCTGGGCTTCCTTTCCCTGGATCGTGCTACTTTTTGTTTTCTAATGTGTAGCTTCGTGAGTATTTAAACCCAAGTTCTGTGCTGCCTTCCTCCTTCCTCCTTTTTCCCCTAGAGGGGGTGGGTTTCTGAGGCTTCAGGGGAAACAACTGTCTTGTGCTAAGGCTCCCCCCTTTTCTCCCACCTCACCTCCAGAGATCCAGTCCCATGGGAGGAGGCCCTCTCAGGAGGAGGCTGTGGGCAGCTCCATGCTGGGAGGGTGGGTGGCTGAGGGTGGAATTGCAGCAAGGGGGTCAGGAGGAATAAACCATGTACATAAAAGATGTCTTGGACCAAGTGTGCTTCTGTTTTTCTTGGAGGAGTGGCCTGAGCATGGCCATGACCTCTGCCCACCTGGCCCTTTCTGAGATGGGGGAAGCTCTGGGAACTCCCTGTGGCTCTTGTGCCCCTGGAGGTTGATTCACGTGGGCTCTCTGCCTTCTGTTAGGGTCAGTCACGGTGGTGGGAGGAGGGTGGTGACAGGACCAGCAGAAGGTGGGAAGGAGGAGTGAGAAGTTAGTGTTTCTTTCCGCATGTCCCTCCCTGCGTCCCCCAACCCAAGGTCATAGCTCCACCAAGTGAGCCTTCAGCCTGGGCATGGTAGCAGCTCTCCACTGCTGCTTGTCCTGCACACTGAACCACCCATGTCAGTCACCCAACCTTGCCCACACCTTTGCAAAGAACCCCGTCATTTCAGCACTCCTTGGATCTTCCATTCTCAGTGGCTCCTGCTGTTGCCAGGACCCTGCCTGATACCATGAGCATCTGGATTCAACATAAAGGCAATTTAGGCTCCCATGTGTGATTCTGGGCCCGATTTGTGGTTTCAGGGCTGCCCCTGGGAATGTTGCCAGGAAATGAGACCTGGACAGAGATGAGAAGTGGAGGCAGGCCATTTCTAGAGGGCTGAGAGGGTCCCTAGTAGTCTTTTCCCCTGCATCTCCGCCCTGTTCCTGGCCTCTCGATCTCAGTGGCTCTGGACACTTGGTGGCCCCTTGATTCTTACCTATCCTCATTCCACCTTATCCCATCAGCAGGGCCTGTCTCCTTGGCCTCTAGCCCACATGCTTCTCTGTCACCATGGAAACCACCTGAGGTCCAAGATACCACCTCCTCTCTGAGCTCCCTGCTTCCCCTCCAGCCACACTCCAGCTCTATGCAGCAGCTGGGGAGCTGTGGGTATTATGCAAATCCAATCCCAGACATCACCTCTTTCTGGGTTTACATGAAGAGCCCAAACATGTACCAACATGAGCCCCCACAATCTGGCTTTATTAACATTAACTACTTCTGGCCCTGGCCCGGTAGCTCAGTTAGTTAGAGCCTTGTCCCACTATGCCAAGTTTGCAGGTTTGATCCCCTATAGGGCACAGACAAGAAGCAACCAATGAATGCATAAATAAGCGGAACAACAAATTGATGTCTCTCCTTCTCAAATCAATCAATAAATTAAAAAAAAATTGACCACTTCTACAGAGACTCTGCCTCTCGCTCACTATGTGCCAGCTATAGTTCTTGAGCCTACCTTGTTCCTTCCAACCCCAAGGCTTTTGCACTGGCATTTCCCTCTGCCAGGGATACCCTTGCAGCCTGGCTCTGCCCTAGTTCTTAACAAAAAGCGCTCCTCAGCAGAAGACATCCCAGCCGTCCCAGAATGGGCTAGCATTCCCTGTTATACACATGTTTAGCTCCCTGTCAATCTCCCTGTGCTTACCATAGTAATTATTAAATAATTAGTAATTACTTGTTTCAACATTGGTACAACATAATTTTATAAGCTGCACTAAGGCAGCTTCCATGGATCTCATAGACGATGGGGCATGGAGCAGGGAATCAGTAATTATGTTTGCTTGGGTTTCTCCTTGTTTCCCTCCCAGACCTCAGAAGCAGCCTCACCCTGTCAAGTCCATCCCCTACATGGAGTCAGACCATGTCCCTCCCCTGCTGATTCTCACGACTTCCTTTTGCCCTTAGACACCACCTAATTCCCTCTTACAGGCTTTCAATACTTGTCAACCTGGCAGCCACCTCTCTTGTTATGTCCCTCCCACCTTTTGGTCTACCAACAAAATGGGCTCTGTCCTCGTTGCTTCCTGCAGTAACGTCAATGGTCCAACCTCTGGGCCTTTGCTATAGCAGCTGCTCCTTCCGTTGGGAATGCTATCATGGACTTGGGCTGGTAGGAGTTTACCCAGTACCTGTCACCCTCTTCTTCTTTTCTAACAGAACTCTGGTTTGCTTTGACCAAACCTATGTGGCTCAGGGGAAGTTGAGCAGCATGACCCAAGCCTCTTCTGGTATTGGTGGGGTTTCTTGGGAGAGAGACATACCCTGTTAACTGGGGTTGTTGAGCTGGGAGGATATGAGTCTGGAGCTACCAAGGGTCATATGTTACCAAACTGACAGAGCCTTCCAGATAGATATAGAGAGACTTTGTCTTCATGACACTGCTGGAAGTCCTGACTCAAGCTGTGCCTGAAGCCCACACTGCTTCTTTAAAAAAATTTTTTTTAATCCCCACCCGAAGATATTTTTTTCATTGCTTTTCAGAGAGAGTGGGAGGAAGAGAAACATCAATGTGAGAGGGACACATTGATTGGTTGCCTCCCACATGCACTCCAACAGGGGTTGGGGTCAAGCCTGCAACCGAGGTACATGCCCTTGATTGGAATTGAACCCAGGGCCTTTCAGTCCATGCTCTAACCACTGAACAAACCGTCAGGGCCCACACTGCCTCTTGAGTTTTGGCTTATGTCAGTTTGCATTGGGCTTCTTGGAACTGAAAAGTTGTGACTGATCTCTGACTCTTTGTTCTCCCTTCCTTCTCTCAAGACTGTGTTTGGTTTGTTTGCTGCTGTGTCTAGTGTATTAATTCTTTTTTTTCTTTTAAAATATTTTTTAAATCCTTACCTGAGAATATGTTTATTGATTTTTAGAGAGAGGAAGGGGGGGTGGAGAGAGAGAGAAGGAGAAATATTGATGTGAGAGAGAAACATCGATTGGTTACCTCCCATCCGCGCCCCAGTGGAGGATTGTATCTGCAACCCAGGTACCTGCCCTTGAATCCGAGATGCTTCAATGTGTGGGCTGGATGCTCTAACCACTTAGAAACACAGCCAGGGCTCTAGCATATTAATTCTTAAAGCCCTGGTGATCAGCCCAGGCCTGGGCCAAGAGTGAATGCTCCATAGATGTGGAATTAATGCTAGGTGGCGTGGGTGTGTGGAGAGGGGAGAGGAGCCCCTTCCAAGAAGGCAATGAGTGATGGCTGCCTGGAAGAGGTGGCAGCTGACTTGAGCTTTGAGGAATGGATAGAATATGGGGAGAAGGGAGCGTGTCCCTGGTGCATGAATGTGTGTTGGAAGTGTGTGTGTGTGTTCTAAGAAAAGTAATCTCTGTTTACATCACCGGCCCTTCTGAGAGTTTCACTGGAGGAGGGGCCCAAGTGCCAAGCAAAGGACTTTGGGTCCCTTGTGGAGTTACAGGAGAAAAAGGGACTTTGCTTCCATCTGGGGCTCCTTTCAGGGGTGAGGGCCAGCAGAGGCAACCTTGTGGAGGAGCCCTGACTCACCACAGCTCTCTAAGCCTCAGTGTTCTTTTCTGCTCTCCCAGTTCTTCCAGGCATCTTGACACTTCCTCCACCTTCCGCCTGCACCCGATGCAGACCTGGTGGATGGTGGGTGGTGGGTGGCATCATGGCAATAGGCAGGAATGCCCATGTGTCCTCATAACACAAGGTTGTCATGACAACTGGCTGTTCTGTTTTCCTGGCCACATGCCTGAGTTCTGGGCCCTGGGAGGTAATCTGCTGAGGAAGGGAGGGAGGCAGTGAGGTATCCCTGTAATAGTCCCTCGGCGCTTAGAGGGAAGGATGGGGACTCATGCCTTTCCCTTCTGTATGTGTATGGGAAGTGCAGACTAGGCCCCTGCTCAGGGCCAGGCATCAACCCAATGGGGAAACTAAGGCCTCCAAGGGTTCTATGTCATGTTACTCTGCCCACAACCCACTTCACACCCAGTCCTGCCAGACTCTATGAAGCTCCTGGCACTCTCCCTCCTCAAGGTCCCCATACAGGCTCTTTCCTCTGCCTAGAAGGCTCTGCTTTCTTCCTGGCCAACTCTTCAGCTTAAATGTCCCTCCTTGCCCTCCTGGCTCAGCCCGGCCCCCCCTAAGTCACTATGCCCCAACTCAAGCCTCTATCATGTTGACAATTATGTTATTGCTTCTTTGCTTGTGTGATGATTGGTTTAATAAATGATCCCTCTGCCAGATGTGACGCACGAGCAGTCTCAGTCACAGCTGTGCCCCACATCCAGGAGGCTGCTCTCAATACATCTTTGTCTACGCTCTCCCTCCTTGCTCCAAACCTTGCTCATGCCACCCCAGCCAATGTGGTTTCTTGCCTCTATCTCTTAGGCTCTTTCTGGAACCAGGTTTGGGGCCTACACATTACTTCCACCTAAAATGATCTGGAACATTCTGGGCCCTTCCACAAAACAACATTCTGGAATGTCCTGGAACATCCTAGAATATTCTGTCCCCTGCTTTTATTAAAGCTGGACATCACCTCCTTAAAGAGGCTATCCCCAACCTATGGCTGAAGTAATCCCTCCCCTCTTGGAAACTCTCAGCCCATTGCCTTCATGGCAGTTATCAGGAAAGGCCTTGGTTATGGATCAGTTTGTGTGTTTCAGGTTTGTCTTTCCCATTAGAATATATATTTCAGTCCTGGCCGGTATTGCTCAGTGGTTAGAGGATTGGCCTGAACACTGAAGGGTCGGAGGTTCAGTTTCTGTCGAGGGCATGTACCTGGGTTGCAGATTAGATCCTGGCCCTGGTTGGGGCGCATATGGGAGGCAACCAACTGATATGTTTCTCTCATATCGATGTTTCTCCCTCTCCACCCCCCTTCCTTGACCCCTTTCACTCTCTCTAAAAATCAATGGAAAAAATATCCTCAGGTAAGGATTAACAAAAAAAGAATAAAAAAGAATATACATTCCATACTATTCTGAAATAAGAGGGCAGGGATCTTGCCTGACATGCTTACAGCCTGGCACCTGGCACTGGAGGGAGGCAGCATGAGACCAGGAGGTGGTGGTGAGCTCTAGGGTAGGACGCCTCTGACCTTCTCCTGACGGTCAAGAAAGTACCTTTGCGGTCAGTGCTTTCCCTCCCTGGTGATCCATACCAGGTGGCCCCTGTCCCAGTCCATCAACATAGATTAGTGTGGCCTGTCTGTGAACTTCACATAAATGGAATCGTACAATGTGTCCTCTTCAT